AAAGAGAGGAAGAAACAAGAGCTGTAGGTCACAGACCACTGCCAGGTTGAGGGGAGAAGGGGGCAAACAAAAACAAAGTAAGCAATGCAGAGTGTGCTTGTCTGCTTAGAGCCTTAGGCTACATCACAGACAGTCATCTTCTTCCTACCCTTGCTTTCTAGTTAAATGTATCAAAGTACTACAAATCCAGACTCTGCAGGCTTATACAAATGATAGTTAGGCTTTTAGAGGCATTTTTCCTGTGCAGATCAACTCCTAGTAGCCTCAAATTCATACACTCCTTAACCTGACACCATTATTTTAGGGCAGACTCATCAATATCCCAAGGAGACCACCAATGGGTTTTGTGTTATTCTCATTAAAAGGCTGTGGGGGTGGGTAAGTCAGCGTGTGTGATCCTCAGCTCTGCAAATCCTGCTGGATTCTCTTTTATTTTGCTGCAGTAAGGTTTACCCAGGGCCCTGTGTGTAGACAATTTAGGGCTGAATTTATGCGTCAAGATAGATGACTGAAATGTTACCTCTACTGATGGGCTTGTTATACCTGGTTTCCAGATCAGCTGCTTCCTGGAGCATCTCTGGGGTGATTGCCTCTGTGTTAAAGAAGTCCTTGATGCTCTGCAGAAGTTCTGCCCTTCGGGGGTCAGGCAGGCTCTCTGCATTCAGCAGGGCTCGAGCTCCAGAGCGCACTTGCCTGCGCAGAGGGTCCTCCAGCAGACGCACGCCTTCCTCGGAGCCAATGGGGGCACCAAACTCCTCAGCCAGCTGCTGCTTGAGAAGGTTGTCATAGTAATTGGAGATGGCATGGCAGGAGGTGCAGAGTAGGAGCACGTCATGGGAGTTGTGGTCCTTCATCTGGATGGGGAAGTGTCTTCGGTACTCATGAGGAACAATGTTCTTCCTAGGGAAGACATACCAGCCAGCTCATTACATTTGCCTGGAGCTGCTACCTCCCTCTCCTCTTCCTGGCCCACAGAGGGTCAACTAGTACTAAAAGTCCAGGAAAACAAAGGTCACCAGGGTCAGGACCATCATTGCAGGAATAGATTCTGCAACTTTTTATTTTTACTTCTCTCCACAGGTTTCATGGGTTTTCTGCATTTCTTTTTCCCCTTACAAAAGTTAATTGCTTTCAATTAAAAAAACCCAAGTGATTCATACTGAAAAAAAAATTAAAGCCACACCCCTCTCAGCTTACCAGCCACATCTGCAAAGACAAAAATCTCAGTCTTTGTTACCCCATGGCCTTCAGGCTCACCTAAACCTTACATTTTGGAAGGATTTGGTGGAAGGAGCAGTACAGCTGTTTCCAGATGCCGTGAGAACAGTGTGTGTTGGCACACTGCTGCCCCCTGCCGTTCAAACTGCAGCACATACACGGTCCACAGGCTTTGTTCTCTCCAGGAACTGCTCTCTCTTGCCTTAGGGAGAGGGACGGTGGCCTGTTCAGTGTCAAACCTTCCCAGACACATACGACTACAGAGAATTGAAACAGAGACAGCCCATCCAGGATGTTAACAAGCATGATGTTTCAGGCCACTATCCAAGCTTCTGGATGCCAAATTACATGCAGTCCTGTTTTAAAAGATGCATTTTTGGACAGAAAAATGCAGAAAGGGAAAATGGACTTGGAGAGAGTCCAGCGTAGGGCTACAAAGATGATTAAGGGAGTGGAGCATCTCCCTTATGAGGAGTGGCTGAGGGAGCTGGGGCTCTTTAGTTTGCAGAAGAGGAGACTGAGGGGAGACCTCATTCATGTTTATAAATATTTAAAGGGTGAGTGTCACGAGGATGGAGCCAGGCTCTTCTCGGTGACAAACAATGATAGGACAAGGGGTAACGGACACAAACTGGAACACAGGAGGTTCCACTTCAATTGGAGAAGAAACTTCTTCTCAGTGAGGGTGACAGAGCCCTGGCCCAGGCTGCCCAGAGAGGTTGTGGAGTCTCCTTCTCTGCAGACATTCAAAACCCGCCTGGACGCCTTCCTGTGTAACCTCATCTGGGTGTTCCTGCTCCGGCAGGGGAATTGGACTGGATGAGCTTTGGAGGTCCCTTTCAGTGCCTAACGTTCTGTGATTGTGATTTTAATCCTATCACACTAAACTCACCGGATATAGGACTCTCGCTTGCCACATACAACGCACAGGTTCTCTTTGACTGTCAGGTAATAATCCACTTGAGACTCGGGACGTCCTGAAGGCTCAAACCGCAGCTTCACAACAAATGGGTCCGTGCTAACTAGCTCTGAAAGGATAAAGGCAAATAGAGAACAAACAAGACAAATCTTTCTTTGAAAGTTAAAATAACAACGCTAAAACATAGGAGTCATCCTAGTGACTCCACAACAGTATTTCCAATAAGAAAGGATACAAAAAATTCATGCCCAGTTATCTAAGAAACAAGGCAAAAACCCCACAAAAGTGCTATATTTCAAATACCAACAGGAAAATTGGTACGCTCACCTCCAATCCCCTTGTCCAGATACCACTGAGCCTTCTTGCGATCACAAGTGCACAGAGGCTGCCCATCTGGTGCATGCAGGAAGCAGTTGTCATACAGTGGAGATTTTCTGTGAAACAAGGGCAGCATTACAGCAACTACAACAGCATGCCAAAAAACCAGAGCTCTCTACACTGCGCTTCGTGCGGCCTC